GCTTTGAAGTCATCAAATATCCTTCATTGATCATTGAATATGAATGAGTGTAAGTCAACAGTTACCTCTCTCATTTATGAGTTAGATGGGTCTCTCCATGTTCAGTGGAATACTTTATCCATGGTGAGGGATTTTTTTTGTACATTAGTAGGATATGTGGAGTGGTAGTAAGAGCAGAGACCCTTTCTGTGGTCCCCGCCATACCATGGAAATGGTTAAAGAAGTCTTAATTAAGACAAAGAAGAGTCAGACTAGACCAAATCCTAATGATAAGAGCTATCATCTGTAAGAAAGGGCCAAGCAGGCACCTGAAAGAAAATAAATTCTGATGTCAACAGAACTTGTCTTCATGCTCCCCTGCTCCCAGTTCTCTTTTGGGGATCAGTCTCCCTGATTTGGTCAGTACCCTGTAGGCACTCTGGGGTAGTCTGGGCTGTCCAGTCATCCCGTCTAGAGCTCCACTCGCATGCAGTGTTTATTCTCCAGGCCATTCCTCCTCTGCTTTTCCTCTTTTTCAAAATTTACTTGCTCTATGTTCCATCCTGTCAGTGGGTTTTCCACTGCTGAGTCCCGTGGAACTATAAGCTGATCACCACTGGTAACAGGATTCTGGGATTTAACATGGAGAGAGTATCTTCCGTGAAACGGTAGCTCTCATGTTGACAACCTCAGCTTCTGGGACGGGAAGGATTATTGGTGATGAAGCCTATAGAATGAAGATGCTGTAAGTTAACCCTGAGTCAATTCTCTGTATATAGTGCTAGTACTCCCACGGAGCAGAGCTAGGCCTTGCTGGGGTTACAGACAACTCGATGTGTGGTCCCTGGCCTCAACGAACTTGCAGTCCAGCAGGGTGGGAGGGCGAATCTTGGATGCCACCACCCCTTGAAATAATCTTACTTACTCGTGGTAGGTATTATCATGCGACTTTAAAGAATCAAGCCTCTGAATAGTAAACTCTTTCCCCAGCATGTATATATGTAGTGAGTGGTGGAGGCAGGATTTGAATTCAGATCAGCTGTGGTTATCAAACTCACGTTCTTTCCAGTGTCCCAACTGCTATGGAAACAGAAGCGAAGAGGCTGGAGGAGGGACAGAGATGCAGTGCTGGGTGGGATGGGTGTGGCCTGCTCCGGGGTCGGGGTACAGAGAAGGGAATGAGCCTTGTGGCTCGGAGAGCTAGAGCGAGCCTTGTAGGACACTGGGAAGTGGCGACAAGTCTGAAGCCATGAAGAACAACTTGTTTACGTGGCAGTCGCTGGACGAACAGAGGTCTTTTCAGGGAAGGAGACCAGTTTAAGGAAAGGCCTGGAAATAGGAATAAAATCATCCCGAAGGCCAAAACAGGGAGTACTCAAGGGGATGAAAATTATTCCTTGTGGCTCACCTGCTCTTAGACCACATCCCTGTTCAGCAGAGGGAGGCCGGGAGGGCCAGCATGGGAGGAGGTTTCCCTCCTCTAAGTGATCAGAACTCTGCAAACCTGGCCCGGCCCCCAGTCCTATCAGGAGCCACTGACCCAGAGGAAGATGGTCAGGGTCCCCAAGATTAGGGGCTTTTTCTCAGAAGCCCCTGACAGACACAGGCTGCATGAGAACTTCTGGGGAAGGAGGGTGAGGAAGCCAGGTGCTTCTCCCTTCCCTTTTTGGAATTCCGGCCAGTTTCAATTTACATAATACAGCTTAATCCGCAGAAACAGGAGCTGGGAGGCAGGTTCTTTCTCTCTTTCTCTTTTTTTTCTCTCTGAGACACGGAAACCTTTATTTTCTCCCTACACCACAAACCGGTGCTGTTAAATAATATTGGATAATTGCACCTGTCGTACTCCCCATATTGTGCGGAGGAAAAATAATTGCTGGTTTTCTGCTTTGCAGTTTAGCTGTGACTTCGTCATTTGACTCGGAGCATGTCATTTTCTCCCATTTTAGACTGTGTACAGTCAAACTGTGTGAAAGGACCGTGGATAGCAGCCCTGCGTGTGTGAGTGGGCGCAGGCCTCATTCAGCAATGATTTCTAATTTATACAGCATTGAAAATCCACAGCTATAAATAAACAGTTCTGACTGGCTTTGCTGCCTACTCAAGTGCTTTATTAAAAAAAAAAAAAAAGAAAAGAAAAAGAGCCACCAACTGCATGAGAGGGGGAAACAGCGTCTGGGGATGGATTCTGGTTTCTGACACTTGGGTCTGTAAGGGAGAAGCCCAGACTTGGGATGGGTTCAGGGCTCAGCCAGGCGGCCTTCTGGGAAGCCCGGCCTCCCCACTCCTCTCTCGGCTCCCTCCCGCTGCCCACGTGCACGCGCCATGTGTTTGGGGATTACAGTATATGCAACTAACTTCCTGTTATGACAAGTATTGCGAGAGAGTAGGTGCAGAGGAGCTGAAAATAGCTTGAGAAATGTATGACCCATTTGAGGAGAGGATGGGGCTAATGGATTGTTTAGGCAAACAGAGTTTAAGTCTTCATCCCACACCAAAAATTGGTGTTCCATGTGATAGAGCAGCTCTAGAACCCACGGAGACCAGTCCACGAGGCACTGGAAGTGTTCCTCTCTCTGCCTCTGTGGTTGAGAGTCTCCACCAAGTTGGGGTCCCCTGACCACCACCTTTTGTCCAGCCTTGCAGAGGGACATGCATTTTTGCTTTGTTAAGTGAAAGCTTTCAGATGGCCAGTTATGGCTCTGCTCTATAATCAAGTGATAGGAAGGTGGGCTCAGGAATCGACCACGTGTGTGACCTTGGACTGGCCGTTGCCCTCCTCGGAAGCCAGTGACATACCAGAGCCAGCTCCTGTGCTCCTTGAGAGGACCAAGTGCTTATGCATCTCTCCTCCCAGCTCTGCATTCAGTGGCCCATGGCTAGCTTGAAAAAGGTTGTGGTGGAGTGTTCACACCGCAGAATGGGCAAATGCTCCGATTTTCTTTTTCCCAGAGAGTTGGTTTTTAAACATTTACCAGCCCACCAATATCAGAAACTTGGTTTCTTCATTTGGAAAATGAGGACATGATACATCTTCTGCTTAAATGATTCTGGTGAGGATGAAATGAACCATGGGGGTGAGGGCATGGCCCTACACAAAAATTATTGCTGATTCTCTCCCTGTGTGGTTGGCATTGTCTTCTAACCCCTATGGACCTTCTGTAGGCAGCAAATCCTAGACCTCTTAATGACTGTTTATTGTGTTTCATGTTTGCTGCACGTGTTTTGTTGCTTCTCCTTTCCTAAGTTCTAGCAGGACAGGAGAACCACTTACCTACTGGTGTATTTGCTCAGTGGGAGGTGGTTCTCAGGTATTTCTGGCATTGGAATGGATCCTGTGAGATGGTCAATCATACAAAAATCAAGGTTTAATTTGGTTCCGGGGACAGTGAAGTCACAAATAGAATTTTGCAGGTTCATCCCCACCAGGAGCTTGTTATCACTCTAAGAAGTATGCAGCCCCAGTCACCTTTGGGGTGTGGAAAATTTGGGTGATCCCCTGCGGGCTTCGTGTTTGGGGAATTTCCACTGTGACAACTGCTTCTGGGCTCCTGCTGAGACCAGGTGCTCTGAGCACTCAAACAGCCACAAGAATAGTGTTCCCAGTTCAATCCAAAAAGACTTGCGGCTCATGTTTATATATTAGTAGATAAAGGATTAGGAAGATAGCAGGTTTGTTGGTGCCTGTCCTAGGCATCCTGGGGCTGCCTGCCCAGTTGTGGCAGTCTGCCCTCTTCTCTAACTCAAGACCGTTTTTGGTATTTCTGAGGTTTTCTGGTCTTGGAATAGATATGGCACATTGGCCATAGAGCCATCAAGTTTTGATGTGGTTCTAGGAATAGATTTTGCCAAATTTTACCATTTTTGCCAAATTTCTCCTGTATGGTGTTAGGTTGGGAAACCCAAATACAATTTACTCTGCTGTCCACACCCAGCCCACACGGACCTGGTGACGCACCACTGGACTCCATGCTTACCCATCAGTAGACCCTTATCATTCATGATCTTTACAAAATGTGCCTGTGAATAAACACCCAGAAAAATTTCCTGGGAAGATCAGAGCAGAGTTCGTGAATGTGTTTGTTAATCCCCTAGCCATCAGCTTTGTTAAAGCATAAGCTAACTCAGCAAAGTGCTTTGTACCAAAGCATTCTCAGGGATCCTCATAGCCATGTCACTTCCCATTACTTACTCCCCAAGAATGATGTGCATTTGACGAAGGAAGCAATATTCGAATGGAAGAGATTTCGATGATGATGTCGCAAAACCCCATATTTGCTCACAAGAGGGGCAGATTTCTCCATAATTTTTATAACTTACTTTCTCATTGCCCCAATTAATTTGCTCTCTGATCAGGTGGACAGATGACTTCGGTAGCATCCATCTCCTGTCTCGACCGAGGTAAACAAAATAGATCAGCAGCCCATGAAAATAGCTAGTTGATGAAAACACTTGTTTTTAGAAAAGTTGGAGTCATTAAAAATGGCACAGGACTGGGAGTTAGAAGATCGGGGGGACAAATGCCATCACCTTAGTTGTGATACTAGCTCCTTGGCCCTCGTGCAGATTACTTCCCAGCTAGGTCCTCAACACCCTCCTCTGAAGGGGAAGAGTTTTGGTGATGCCAAATCCCTTTCTCTCTCTAAACATTCTCTAATGTTGAGTTTACACGAATTTCCTTGGACTTTGGCAGATTTTCACCACAGAGGCCAGATAAAGGTAACAGATTCTAAGACAGCAGTTGCTGTTTTTGGCATGTCCAGTAAACTTGCAAAAAACAACAACAACAAAAAAAACAACAGAGTCCCCACATTAAGCTACCTTCATAAACACTCTTATTAAATTTAAATATCATTCACTGTCCTTTCTACCTTCCTATGTTGCTCCACCACCTCCCTCAACCCGAAAAGAAAAGGAAAGAAAAGAAAAGAAAGGAAAAGAAAAAAAAGCAAAGAAAAGAAAGAATAGAAATGAAACTCTCATGTTTTCTTCCTCCTTTGTTCTTGGAAAACCGCCTGGGATCACTTCCTCTTCTTCCTTGGCTTCATCGTGTCACCTGTACGATGAAGAACAGAGACATCAGACTTCAGGGTTTCCCTAATGGGTATTCTTGTGTGGGTAGACATTCACCCTGACCTGGGACAGTGGAAAGTCAAGGACACTTAGCCACTTAGGTAAGAAGATGTACTTTGTGGAGTTCTGAAAACCTTCCACTTCTACAGAAAGAACAAGAAGCAGCTCTCTTGTCCCCACTGGTGCTTGACTCATAGGTAACCTGTTGACCAATAGTGTCATTTGCCTTCACAGGGTTCTGTAGGTCAAATGTGAGCCACTGATTGAAGTTGCTCTTGGCCAAGTGTTTACAGGCTGCACACAATCCATCGACAAACTCTAAGATTGTGCAAATGGAAATGAAGAGACCTCAAATTAGAGAAGGAATAGAAAAGTGGAGATTCACCTAATTAGGGTTCATTCCATGACCTCTCCCGAAATCAACTGAACAGCCTGAATGGAGGAGTACTGGCATATTGATTGGATATTAGTGAGCTCACTGGAAAGGCTTTCTTCTGCTAAAATTATAGCCCTGCATTTCTAGAATGACTTCCATTCAACAACAAGTTGGTACCTCTCTATTTATTGATCATAAATCTTTGCATATGCTCTGAAGTTTCTAACACTCCATTAGCACATTATCCTTCCCACCTGTTGTAAATGTTATCAATCCTACTTTGAAAACTTTTCTCAAATCAGCCTCTCCTTGCGCATTCCACAGCCCTGTTAGTCCTGACTCAGTGCCATAGAAACCTCATGCTTCTACTTCCATGCTTTACCCTTCAAGTCCTGCCCCAGTCCATCAGTTGTGCCCTTAAATGTCTTCTACTAATTTTATTTTGCTAGAATTGCCCTCTCAGAGGTGATAGTGACTGATGACTTGAAGTCTCCTTCATCACACTGATTTTCTAGGACAGCCGACTCCTAATCACAAAGCCCTTGGGGTCATCCTATATTAATGCCTCTCAACATTTCTAAGTACAGTGCTCTCTCTTCTTCTTCTTCTTCTGCGCATCAATCCAGATATCCTCAGTCACTCTAGGGAAGCTTTCCTAAGCTACGCAGCTTTATGTCTTTTTCATTTATGCTCTCACTCATTTTTTGATGTAGACTCTCTCCTGCCCCATCAGGTCTTCTGTATGTTAAGTCTCCAAGTACAAACCCAGAACCTTCTCTTTTCTGAAGCATACACTCTTTGCCTGTAATAAATCCTTTGTCAGCTGAATGACACATTAATTCCTTCATTTTCAAGAGCTTGGGCAACATAAACTTCTCAACTTAGTTGCCCTTGCAGTCCCTCTGAAGGCTTCTAAAACCCTCTTACCAACCCCAGCCATTCGAGTTTAACTGTAATCATAACCACACTCCTCCAACCCCAGGTGCCCAGGATTGGAGAGTCCTTCTCCATGGATGAAATAAAACAGATACTGAAGGCTTAGAGAGAACAAGCCAGGAGAAGTGATGGCCAGAAGTTCTTTTGGGGAGGAAAGCAGGTGGCTCCTTCCTGGGATCAGAGTCTCCCACATCTAACACTAAGAACCTAGACAGAGCACTAAGACATTGACATAGGCCCACAAATACACTAGAGAAGGCATCATCCCAAAATGTGTCTTGGGACTGACTTCCAACAGTCATCTCTTCTGTAGTGATTTACGTGTGTGAACATCACAGAAATCATATTTTTCTTTTGTTCATAGCAGGTGGAAGGTGAGTCCTTATTCTTGAATTCTCTTGGAGCTGAGCAGTCTCTAGGCTTCTCTGAGTCTTCAGAATTTATCTCTGACTCTGATTCCAATACATGGCTGGAGATTAGGGAGCTGTTGACTTAGTAATACGTTGTATTATCTTACTCAAACAAAGTCCACAACATGGATTTCATATTCTGATTGGGAAATAATGTTGTTTGTTATCCTTCTTTCCTTCATGGAAGGGTAATTTTTCCAGTGGAATGCCTCCTAGTTGGCAGTTAGGAAGCTAAGCCCAACCCTGATTCATTTTAGTCCTTTCTTTATCCTCTGTTAGATAGTACCAAGGAATAGAGATATCCTAGGCCAAACATTTAATGTTTGTCTTGTGCAAGATCCAAAAGTTTTCTGCTGTCACAGCAAAAAAAAAAAAAAAATTAATCAACATCACTATGGATACCATATATAATTATATTCCTTATTATTCCAATAGTCAGAAGACAGAGCAAGTAAAAACATTATATTCACTAAGATTTACACCTATGTGTCTACAATCACAAAAGCTAGTGCTGCTAGACTTTGAACTGAAAATTTGAAGAACATTTGCCTAGTTTCCGTGGGTTGGCTTGGAAAAGGGTGAGAAGGCAGATGGTTGGGAAGATAGGAGGTGTTATAAGAATGAGGTTTGAACGTGAATGAGTAAAAGTTTCAGTGCAGACGTAGCATGAAGGAGATGGAGCTGAGGTTCTGGCTGGAGAAATCCTTGTGGGAAAAGAGGCAGTGAAAGAAGGAGAAGCAATAATCCAACATGGATTCCGAGCTGAGGGAGATGAAATTAGGACAAGAAAGGCAAAAAGGAGATATATTTCTGTTATTAACCAAATGCTGCTCCTGTGGTACCATGCTTTCAAAATACACATGGAGTTATCTCCTGATAAGAGTCTTTTGTTATGAAATGATCAGAGGCAATGTGCAAGGCAGAAAAAACCTTAAATTTCTTCATGGCTAAAACCAAAGATGGCCTCTAAGTAGCTTTCAGCAATAAAATATCTCTTAAAAAAACCTGGTCTACAGAAAATAGTATTAAAGGAAGGTTTTAATGTCCTTTTCTCCAAACCATAGACACAAAGTCACTTGGTTAGAGTTGAATTTTCAGCTTTTGAACTCTCCTTAGGGGGGAAAGGATTTATGGTCTCAGGTCCTGACAAAGGATAGTCTGACTCCTGGCACACAGCCCTCAGGAATGTTAGCAGAGGGGTCAAGGGCCAGAGATAAGCTGATTGCCTCTCCAGCCACACCTACCTAGAAGAGGCCCTGCCAAGTCCAGCTGGGAGCACTTAGTTCCTTTTTGTGCCTGATAGATCCTTTAGGTTGTGTTTTTCTTTCTGAGGAACTCCTGTCTTGATGTCAGCAGTCTTGTGTCTTATCAAGAAAAAGAGAGAAAGAGAAAGAGAGAAAGAAGAAAGAAAGAAAGAAAGAAAGAAAGAAAGAGAGTGAGTGAGTGAGGGAGGGAAGGAAGAAAGAAAGGAAGAAAGAAAATTCGGCACTCCAGTGGCAGACAGACAAGGAGGCCTATCCTGGAATCCCTTGGCAACCCTTTTTTTCCAATTAGGGTGAAAAGAATCTGTCTGGGGCTTCCCTAGGTGCTCAGATATGGTGGCCCAAGCTTATAATGATCTGCGGAGCCTGCTTCCCCTTGCCTGATTCTACTATTGTTTGAAATCTACATTCCATCTAACTATGCCCCCAAAATAGAAACTGAATCTTTCCTGGTGGGTCTCTGGTCTCTGTATGTGACCCTGTGCTTGTCCAGCCCTCTGTCCTATGACACATAAAAGCTAGCAGAAGGAAGGGGGGACATGGTGACAAGTCAGGAATGATGGCTCTCTGGAAACTCTCTAGAGCTCTTTGAGCCCCAGCTTCTTCTTGAGGACCAGCAGGACCTTCCTGAGGGCCTGACAGCTTTGTCTCCCTGGTACCCAGAGCCAGATCCATGCACCCGTGTACTCCTGAAGGATAACACCCGCTATCCAAGTTCACATTTGACTACTGGTATCACCTCTTACTACTGCCCTTCTCTCTCTTCTCTGACATGACGCATGAGGAGGAAGAAAGTAGGTAGACATTCAGCGAGTGTGGCCGTCACTGCCACAGAGCAGTAGCATTGGAATCTTCGGGTATACACATTAGAAGGAGGGAATCCCACACTGTACCTTAGATCTCCTGAATGAGAATTTATATTTTAACAAGAGCCTCATTTTAACAAGATTTGGAAGCACATAAGTTTGGGAAGCCCTACTCTGAGATCATGGCTCTTGACCCTAACTACAGATTAAAATAACTGGACAGCTTTAAAAAAAATATCAATGTCAAGTTCCCATCTCCATAGATAGGGATTTAATTGGTCTGGGGTGGACCCGAGAATTAGCATTTTTAAGACTCCCCCGGTGCCTTCATAATGTGGAATAAAGGTTAAGGACTATTACCAGAGAGATGCTTCCATATTAGATGGGTCTTGACTGATATTTCAGCTATGCAATTGTTGCTTTTCATCGCCTTCAGCTGCATACAGATGCATACAATTCAGATGCATACAATTGAAGGACAGGATGGGATACCCACATAGGAAAGGTTACTGATTTTTAAGGAGGGAGAATGAGCTTAACAGCAATGAATACCACGTGCCAGGCCCTGTTTTGGTCACTTGACACTTCTCAAGTCCTTTATGGTCCTCCACGATGTCAGGAGGAGGGTGCTAGTGCTGTCTCCATGACGCACAAGGAAAGCTGGAAGACAAAGATATTAAGTGCCTTGCTTAGGGTCATGGGTCTACCAATAGCAGGACCAAGGTAGGAACCCAGGCAGTCTGGCACAGAACTTTTCTCCCAACCACTGCCTCCCATGGCATCACCAAAGCTCTCCTTAGAATTGTGCTGTCATCCAAGAAAGCTCATGTGTGTAAAGAGGTGACAAAGTAGGGTTAGCCCTGGATTTGGACAGAAGATGCAGCTGCTTACATGTCTCCACAGATCCAGAACAGATTTGGAGAGGCTCAGAGATAGAAGAAGCACATTAGTGATCGTCCACACCTCAACAATGCTAAATCACATGCACACTCCCGTGGCAGGCATTCACCGGGGCTGTCCTAGGCAAACTAGCAGGGGTGGTCACCTGACTTAGAGTTATCCCATCACTGAGAAGTTGAAGTGTTTTGGCACAGCTTACATGGTTGGTTTGTGGCCAGGTGAGAGACATACCCTGGTTTTTTAAATTTCAATTCCAGTGTCCTTACCCCTACTTTGCACTGTCTGCCCTAACGTGCATCTATTTTTCAACAGCTCTCCAACCAGTATACCACAACACCATCATCTGTGCTGCTTAAACTCTCTGCCCAATACTTGCATCTCCAATCATTATCGTCTCTCCTTGACTGCTGTCCCCAGAAGCCCTGTGCACCAAGTCCCATTTAATGCCTAGAGGGAAAAGTCCTTAGACGTCCTCTGTCTGCATTGATTGATCCATTGGATACTCCAAAGGAGAGTCCTTGGAGAGTCAAAGATGGATAAGACACACTCATAACCCTTAAGAACTCAGGGTTTTGTGTAAAAACCCATCTCTGTGCAGACCATAGGCGGCTTCCTGGAAGAGGTGAGTTGATATGATTAAGTGGGTGTGAGACAGGCAAAGACTGGGTGTTGTGAGACACTAAAACCCACAGAGGGGAGGGACAACATCAATGTGTAAAGAAAACAAGTAATTTGGTGGTTCTGCTGATGCATGCATTTAGACAACGGAGAGCAAAAGCCACGGGACTGGTTCACAGAGCCCCCTGTGTGTCATTCCAAGAGTTTGGACTTTCATCTGTAAACTGGGGAAGGCTTAAAGTGTTTTAAGCAGAATAAGACACAGAAAAATGTGCTCACATTGATAGCTCTGTTTAGTTTTAGGCAATTTAAAGTGTTCACTGCAACTGGGATGTTAAGTGATCTAATTTCTCTTTTAATTCTTACTAGACCATTTGTAATTACGATCCATTTAGAACTTAACCCATTTATGATCCTATTCTGATGCTATATAGGACTTTTGGCCCAGTCTATTCTTTTTTTTTTTTAAGATTTTATTTATTTATTTGACAGATAGAGATCACAAGTAGGCAGAGAGGCAGGTGGGGGGTGGGGAGGAGGCAGGCTCCCTGCCAAGCAGAGAGCCCGATGTGGGGCTTGATCCCAGGACCCTGGGATCATGACCTGAGCTGAAGGCAGAGGCTTTAACCCACTGAGCCACCCAAGTGCCCCTTGGCCAGTCTATTCTTTAGGGGTTAAAAATCTAGACAGAGGACAGGGACATATGGCCACCTATGTGTGTGACTGTCACTCACCCCAATGTCCACATGTGCACGTGTGTGGGTCCACATGGAGATGCTAGCCTATTTGCTCATTGGGACCTAACTGTAGCAAAAAATTGGATGAAGTTCTTAACCAATGAAGCTTATTTAAAAGAGCTTTGTGTTGAAAATAATATTAAATTTGGTGAAAAATTTTTTAATTTAGCAGATGTCTTAAAGTCACTGTGGAGTAACAACTTAGAAGTTAATCATAATTCAGACAATTGTTTAAAAAGGTTATTGTTCCATAAGCTCTGAGTAATCAAGTTTTTCTCTGCAAATTTCAAATGGATTAGTTTCTTCCTTCCTTTCTTCTTCTTTTTTTTTTTTTCTTAATTTTCATATAGATTTGGGGGAGGCATCAAAAATCCTTACCAAGAACTTCAAGGAGCCAAACTAGTTAGAATTAGATGTCAACACATCTGAAATGTCAACACATTTTTTTTTTTTTTCCTCCTCTCTGGATTCCTGTGAGTTGGAATCCTGATTTTGGGAGTAAATTTTAGTATTCCGTGTTTTAAGTGTTTGCTTTCAAGGATAGTGTCTTTGAGATTTCCCCAACCAGTTACATTCTCCAAGAGTAGAAAACATGTGAAAAAGCCAAATGGCATGCTTATTTCTCTGAGGTCTCATTTTCTTCTCAGAAATATACACTCTGGGGGTGCCTGAGTGGCTCAGTGGGTTAAAGCCTCTGCCTTTGGCTCAGGTCATGATCTTAGGGTCCTGGGATCGAGCCCCGCATCGCATCGGGCTCTCTGCTCAGCAGGGAGTCTGCCCCCTCCCCCTGCCTGCCTCTCTGCCTACTTGTGATCTCCACTTGTGATCTCTCTCTCTCTTTCTGTCAATTAAATAAATAAAATCTTTAAAAAAAAAGAAAGAAAGAAATATACACTCTTATGAAACCGTTGTGGGTTTTTTTGTTGTTGGGTTTGTTGTTGGTGTTGTTGTTTTTGCTTACACGGGCTTATGTTTCCACACCAGTTTATAGATTGGGTGGAAGATGCCACTTGTGCCATTTCTATTTTGATAGAACAGAATGGCATGTGGGCGTGTGATGTGGGGGGACTGTATGTGACTCTTGTTTCCTTATATACAAAATCAGGGTATGCTTCCTGTACTTCCCTTTGGGGATGGGAAAATCATGATTATTTTGCAACCTGACTCTTTGACAGTTACTTTTCCAACAAAATAATATTCTGGGGGTGGGCTGGTGGAAGAAGCAAGGAGGAGGATAAAATATTCCATTTTAAAATCAGCTGAGTTAAGGTTTTTTGGTTTAGTTTGTTTGTTGTTGTTTTTAAGAAGCAACATGGTTCCAGCTGCCTATAATTAGAAAGCTTAGCTTACTGACATATTCACTTTGCCCAAGACCCTGTTTAAATGAGAATTCCCATCTCAAGTATAGGATGTGATTTTATCTGGTAAATGTTTTACTAAGGGTTGAGAGGCAATCTAAATGCAGAAAGATGGGAAATCATCTGGGAAGGCACTGCTGAGGTTAGAAGAACAAAGAGGATCTCTGGACCCTTATCCTTCAAAAAAGGAAACTTTGACATGTAACAATTGGTATCCCCCAGTCCCTCACTTACAGGAGGAAGAACCTAAGTTCTTTTTTTTTTTTTTTTTCATGCTCGGGGAGGTGACACCTTGCTCTCTGGGTCCTGAGCTCTCTAAACAAGATTATTTTTAGCCTTGAAGTTAAATGAGGTATTGTTTGGGGGAGGAGGGGAGATAATTTGATGGGGTCCTTTGAGAAAATCCGAAGTTCCCCCAGGCTTTCCCTCTGCCTACTTTGGTATGACCTGTCTGAATCCTTTGGACAAAGGCATTAAGCATTACTGCCTTCTGCTTTTGGACTAGTTTCTCCTTCTGTTTCCAGGAGGGGTGGAGAGCGTGTAACGAAGGCATGCCTCTATAGGTAAAAGAGAAATAAACTGACCCCATTTCCAGTGGTTGAGCTTCTCTCCAAGTAGATAGATGCCAGCACTAAAGATGTAGCTGAGAGAGAAGAATGCTGTTAGACCCACCGGGCTGAGTTTGGCTAACACAGGATACACCCACGTACCCGTCTCAGAGTAGATCCATAGGACCCTGCAGAAAATGACAAGTCACAATAATTAGGATGGCAGGGGCAGGTTGGTGGTGGAGCCATTTTATCCTCAAGATCAGTGGGGTTCTGGAGCCAAGGGAGATGAAGAGAAGCCATGGGAATCATTTGTCAACAGCTGAGGTGTTCCACAAACCTATAGAAGTGATTCTTTTCTGGATAAACAGACTTGATTCAAAGGGACATCCTATTTCATAAGCTGGACTTGGCTATTTTACCTAATCCGTTAGAATTCCGTGTTGGCGAAAGAACATGGGAGAACATCAGACACATCATCAGCCAAAGAGAGTATGTGAGGACACGAATTATTCCTTTCCCTGAGAGGTATGACCTGCTGAGACATTGAACTTGCTGAGACGGCATCATTCCCTGACTCTCAGCCAGACAAGCGGGTTTGCTTTTCTGTACCTAAGAGTCAGGTGTAGCTTTTCATTAGCCCTCCAAACCTGTTGGGGTCGGAGGGACCAAGATCGACCACTATTGTTCTACTACAATATGCCTTTTAGAGGTAAGAGGGGTTTAACTGTTGGCCCTGATTTCAGCTACTGAATATAGCCATGGACAGAGCGTTCAGTAGGAAGGGATGGGTTTACAGGAGGCTCAGATCTTGCTCATGTGAGTATAGAATAGAAGTCATTTCTGGTAGCCAAGAGAAGGAAAAGAAATGCTAGGAGAGGAGCCACGATGTCTAAGCAAAGCCCAAAAAATGCAGTATGCTGGAAACCAACTGCACTGAAAGATGCCAAAATCTGAAATAACTTTTAAAATTAAATATGAGAAACATGATGTATCAACTACAGTTTATAATTGGTTAAGAGGACAGAATCTGGAACCAGCCTTCTGTGATCCAAATCTGAGTTCTGCAACCTATTAGCTGTCTTACCTTCAGCAATTTATTCAGCCCTGCTGTCCCCTGCCTTCGCGTGAAAAGTGAGGAGTGCAAACAGGATCCATATTGTAAAGGTGTTGTCAGGATTAAGAGAGTTAACACATGTAAAATAAAATAGCACCTGGCCCATTGTGAGCCTTTAATCAGAGTTCTAAAGCTTCTCTCTTCTTAGGGATGGCATGGAGGGGTCCTAGCAACCTTTCTTTGAGGCTCCTTATCTCTTGTAATAATTAGGATAGGCGAGGTCATGCTTCAGAAACAGCATTCAAATTTGGATACCTCAGGTTATCAAAAGATTTCAGAGGGAAGAATAAAATTCTGAGCTTAACTTCAGAAATCCAAGTGCACTCTTGGTTGTTTTAGATACTTCAGATTTGTCAAAGCCTTGTGGAAGAGACAAGGACTAATATGAGGGTCAGACCTGAGGTGAGGCTAGAGAAGCATGAAATTTAAGGGGCCATCTCTGTCTCTCAAAGGACACAATTAATAAATTGAAAAGGAAACCTATGGAAAGGGAAAAATATTCTCAAATCATATACTTGATAGAGGATTAGTGTACATAATATACAAAGAACTCCTCCAACTCAACAATAGCAAGAAATAAACCCAAACAATCCAATGAAAAATGGACAAGAGACCCAATAGACATCTTTCCAAAGAAGAGATACAAATGGTCAACAAACACATAAAAAGATACTCAACATCACTTATTTTTAGGGAAATGCAAATCAAAACTATAACTAGATACCACTTCACAACCATTAGGATGGCCACCATCAATAAAATATCAAGTGTTGGAGAGGTTGTGGAGAAATCGGAACCCTTATGCACAGTTGTGAGGTACAAAAAAACAGTTTAACTGCCATGGAAAACAATGTGGCAGTTACTCAAAAAATTAAATATAGGGCGCCTGGGTGGCTCAGTGGGTTGAGCCGCTGCCTTCGGCTCGGGTCATGATCTCAGGGTCCTGGGATCGAGTCCCGCATCGGGCTCTCTGCTCAGCAGGGAGCCTGCTTCCCTCTCTCTCTCTCTCTCTCTCTCTCTCTCTCTCTCTGCCTGCCTCTCTGTCTACTTGTGATCGCTCTCTGTCAAATAAATAAATAAAAAATCTTTAAAAAAAAATTAAATATAAAATTACCATATGATCTAGCAATTCAACTTCCTTATCTATACCCAAAAGAACTGACAGCAAGAACTCAAAGGTATTATCTGTATACCTGTGTTCATAGCAGCACTATTCTCAATAGAGAAAACACAGAAGCACCCAAGTGTCCATTCATGCATGAACAGAAACATAAAATGTGCTATAGATAAGCAATGGAAAATTATTAAGCCTTAAAAAAGAAAGAAATTTTGACACATGCTACAACATGAATGAACCTTGGGGATATTATGTTAAATGAAATTAGCCAGTCACACACACACAAAAATATATTGTCTGATTCTACCTAGAGTCATCAAATTCATAGATACAGAAAGTAGAATGGTGTTTATCAGGGCTTGAGGGAGGAAGGGAATGGGGATTTACTGTTTCATATGTACAGATACTCAGGGCACCTGGGTGGTTCTGTTGGTTAAGCATCCGACTCTTGATTTCGGCTCAGGTCATGATCACAGGGTGGTGAGATCGAGTCCTGCATTGGGCTCCATGCTAAGCATGGAGCTTGCCTGAGATTCTTCCTCTCTCTCCCTTTCCCTTCGCCCCTCCCCAACCCCCCCACTCTAAATTAATTAATTATTAATGAAATAAAATCTTTCAATAGACTTTGCTAGGTCTACCTCACCTGGTTCATATTACACTGTGTTTATCTATGGTGATAATAGCTCCGTTCCTGGAGCAGACCTCCTATCAAAATTCTTTTTGGAAATAAGGGAAGGTCCAAGGCTTTTCCTGAGCCTTCTGTTTCTGGACTATTACTCAGCCATCAGAAAGGATGAACACCCAACTTTGCATCAACATGAATGAGACTGGAGGAGATTATGCTAAGTGAAGTAAGTCAAACAGAGAAAGTCACTTATCATATGGTTTCAATTATTTGTGGAACATAAGGAATAGCATGGGGAAGGGAAAAATAAAGGGAAGAAATGGGAGTTAACGAACCATGAGAGACTAAGGACTTTGGGAAACAGATGGAGGGTTTTAGAAGGGAGGTGGTAGGGGGATGGGTGAGCCAGTTTTGGGTTTTAAGGAGGGCGGGGATTGCACGGAGCACTGGGTGTTATATGCAAACAGTGAATCATGGAACACATTATCAAAAATTAATGATGTACTGTATGGTGACTAACATAACACAATAAAAAAATAATAATGAGCCTAAAATACTCTTCATGTCAAAGAGGCACATTTTGGGTGGAAATTCTGCTCCCCTACCTTATCATTTTGACCAACACTGGAGTTCTATGAGATGTGCATTCCATTGTCTTCTGCACATCTGCTTCTTATGATAAGCCAGGAAAGGTTTAAGGGACAGAAAGTAAATCCCCAAAGAGCTGTGGTTAGGAATTTGGGGTCAACAAGGAGACCTGAATGCACTCCAAATGGATTGTTTTAATTAATTCACTTTGTTTACCTTGTATACTAGAAATTAGGGCTCCTAATTTCTATGCCCATTTTATACAAGATAGTTAGCAAATAAGGACATTCCCCTAGAGGCCTGGAAAGTTTCTCTTTATTTACTTCATTTTTGTTTCCTTCAGCATAAGGTTCCACAAAGGAAAGTTCCTGAGGTAAGTTCATGAAGTCTGTAGTTTCACAGAGAAAAGTGCAAAGAAAGTTACAGGTGTGTGAACTGTCAGCGGAAAAGTAATGAAAACAAACACGGTATCAGGCAAGAGGGCAAATATTTGACGAAGGGAAGCCAGCGAGAGGCTTGGGGAGGAGATGCTCGTACTGAAGTGGGACCACTTCTTTTTTTTTTATTTCTTTATTTTTAAGATTTATTTATTTATTTATTTGAGAGAGAGAGAGGGAGAGAGCGAGAACATGCACATGAGTTGGGGGGGGGGAGGGGTAGAGGGAGAGAGAGAAGCAGACTCTCCACTGAGCAGGGAACCTGACATAGGACTTGATCCCAGGAGTCTGGGATCATGACCTGAGCTGAAGGCAGAATGCCCCTGGAATTACTTTTTTATGGCTTGCCGGAATATATGTTGAAAGGTGGTGGGAGAGAGAGAGAGAGACGGAGGAGGAGGAGAAGAAGCAGGAAGGAGGGAGGGAGGGAGGGCAGAAGGAAGAGAGGAAGGAAGGAAAGAAGGAAGGAAAGAAAGATGGGGGCCAAAATGAAAGTCACCACTATCTTCTTAGTCAATTGTCAACTCTTCCCCAGCCCCATGCAGGATCCTATGAAACCATATCTAAATGTTTGTCTGCTGCACTCCACTCCAGCTTCCTTCATCTCGAAGGGATGAAAGATGTAATTGTCTACTTGCTGGGCTTTCTTGCATCCTTCAATCCACTTTCCATACCACAAGCTACTAGTAATCCAGTAATCTTTCCAAAAGAGAAATCTGCTCATGGCACTCTCCTGCCTCCAAGGGATCCCCACCAACGCCTTCGGAAAATACTCAAGCTCCTTTACCCAGCCTACCTGGCCTTGCCCTGCCCCCCTGTCTGCCTCCAGATCTACAGCCCACCCATACTGGATCCTTTTCTGTTTCTTAAATGAGCAGAGCTCTGCTGCTCTGGGCCTTCCCTCATGCTATTGTCTCTGCTTGGAACACCTCAGACATTTTTACTTCCCAAGACACACTTCTCCTTGGCCTGTGCCTGGCAGAACCATACTTACGCTTCAAGTCTCAGCTTAAAAGTCAATTTCTCTAGAAGAGATTTCCCAAAGTTCCTGTATCACGCATTCAGTGAGGTTCTTATGCTACACACTTCCTTTACTATGAACTTACCTTGTTGCTTATTGGACTGTCTTTCTCCATAGCCTGGAATGGGACAGGAAGCTTATCTGTCAAGCACATCTGTTTCCCAAGGGCCAAGAAGATGGCAAGTTTGTAGATCTTTACAGGAATGGCTTTTCGGGGAGGTTCTGCTAGCACGTATGGTTCCTTTAACTGCTGTTCAATGTGGCTGCTGTGGACAGCTCTTGG